AAAATTTAAAATCAAAGCTCACACAAAGAGTAATTTGGACCCAAAAAAATTAGATATTGATTTAAACTATTAAAATTTGAGCCCTAAAACTTTGAATCATATCTAAAATACAAAAAATAAAAATAAAAAGGACTATTATACTAAAGTGGTAAATTTTATAGAGGCTTCTAAAATTTGGACTTAACCAATTAGAGAGCAATTTTGGATCTAATAAAATTAGATACTGATTTGATATTTGGGCCCAAAAAATTTTAATCATATCTAAAATATAAAATAAAACATAAAAAATTAGGCTTACTATACTAAAAGGATAAATATTGTGGGGGCTCTCTAAAATTTGGAGTCCTAGGCAAGCAACTTAATTGCCTAATGGTTGGGCCGGCCTTAGAATGATGATGCCCAACTTACATTAAAAGCAAAGAGAGAGTGTTATAAAACATGACAAAAAATTGAAAATGAAAAGAACTTTAGAAGTTACAAGCTTACAAATAAAAAAGTAAAAAAAATATAAGAGAAGTTAAATACAAAGCATATAATGATCTTTACTCTAAACTAGACACAAAAAGTAAGAAAAGAAAAATAAGAGATGTTTATCATATTAAGGGTTTGTTTGATATACGTATTATGAGGAGATAAAATATTAAGTTGTCTTATTTTTTATTTAATTGTGCCTAATATTTTATTTGGTAAGCAAATTTGATATCATATTTATTTCAAAAATATATAATAATCGTATACTTATTATATATTTTTTATACAATAGACTTGTATTATGGAGGTATTTTAATACCACCAAGAGATGTAATATTATAACCCAACTTAAACATATTATTCTACACATTTACTATTATAATCATTTAACTGATAAAATTCAGTTGTCATCAATGTAACAAACGCTGATTGATAGTATTTTTATTAATTCAATATTAATACCGTGAAATAATTTTATAACCAAATAATTGATTGGATTAAATAACTATCATCCAACGCTTATATTGTGTATTATCAAACACTAGATAAAATTATGTATTATTATAATACTCTATTTAATATTATCTTTTATTTATTTGTATTGTATTACACTGTATTAATTTATCTAATATATCCATTTATAATACAACAACCAAACAAACCCTAAATGTATAAAGTGTTCAGACTCTACGGTCGTAATCCAAAACAAGGAAATTAAAGAAAAGTAAAGAAATTAATTTAAAAAGTTATTAAATGAAAATTATATTGAAAGCTTCGACATTAAGGAGTATATAAATCTTAAACACATAAGAGAAAATGCTTTTTTTTGTAAAATTAGGATATCGGAGGTAAAAGATGCATTAAAGAAAATGAAGACAAAAAATACATTTTTTAATAAAATTAAGATGTCGCGTCTAGTCTTCACGTGTTCGAGTAACAAAATAGTATCCATAAACAATTTATTTATTGCACAAGTTACACAACACAACACAACCATGTAACCCGTTAAATAAACAAATTGTTTTAAGGTCTTCTCGAATTCACATGCCAAATCTATTAACTCGTCACCATTTCACTTGTTCTCAATACCAATAACAAGATTGAATAGTAAGCATAATTTGGGAAAAAATAACAATGCACCAAATTCCTATTCCACCACAGATTTACAAACAAAATTACAAACCAAAACATGAACCAAAGTCCACTATCCAACATTTAAAAAAAAAATATCTTGGCCTCTTCTTTTTGGGGGATATTAATTGTTTAACGAGTTAATGAGTAATAAATGAGTTAAAGTATTTTATTTGAACACGATTCTTTTATTAGAATAGTCAAGTGGATTCTATTATTTATTACCCAAATTCGTTAAGATCAAACCTAAGCCTGCTAATTTCGATTCGTATTGAGTAACTAGATCGTGTTAAATTTTGCCCGGCCTAGAGAATACTTATATGTAAAAGAATGGCACAAAAAAAGGAAAAGTTAAACTTATCAAAAAAATATCCTCATTTTAAGGTAGTCATATCAAAACAGCAAATACAAATAATAGTGTTGAAGGACAAAGCCATAGTACTTAAAAAATTGTGTTGACAACATATCAAAAAAATGATTTGTGGATGTACATGTTCAGTTGATCTGTTTGTACTTATTGATGACAAAAATGATAAAATAAACTTCTCTAGTGTCAGTCTCATTAGTTGAAAAAACCATGATTATAACACAAATGATTTCAACTCAAAAAATAAGCCATGAGCCCTATCCCATGACTAAACTTCTCAATCGTGTCGAGTGAGATGAATTCATATTAAAAAAAATATTTTAATCATATTCAATTCGTTTATTAATTTATATTAAATGAGTCGTATTATATCTAGTTCGTGTCATGTATAAATCGTATATAATCGAAATATAAATAAGTCAAGTCGCATATTTTTTTTATTGACTTCACTCATACTTGATTCATTTATTAATCATGTCGTGCCAAGTTCACTCGTTATAAAACGAATAAATTAAAAAAGACTCAAACACTCTAAGTTTATGCCGTATTAACAAATCGTGTCATATTTTAGCACTCTTATCCATGACAGTCTGTATTACATAGGTAGTTCAGTCGGGTATTACCTCCTGAAGAACAAACCATTATTATTTTTCATGTCTGGTACAACAATACACAACTCTATTTTAGCATTCAGTCTTCTATTACATTCTTACGAGAAGACGACCAGACAACAAACAGTCTAGGCATTTTAATTCCATTAGTTCTCATGTCACATGTACATGAAGCACACATACTAATTTTGTAGCTTTACATCTAAGCAAAACCACCCCATTCTATCAATTATGCCTCACCTCTTCTCACCACATAAGCATGTAGCAGCTTGTAAAGCAAAGTATGTGAGGATGATATCAGCACCCGCCCGTCGGAGACACATCAGTGATTCTAACATGACCCTTTCCTCATCAATCATTTTAAGAACCCCGCCAGCCTTGATCATCGAGTATTCCCCTGAAACCTGGATCCAGCGAAATAAACAAGGAAAGTCAAACAAAATCAAGGACATGGGAGTAGAAATTGAAGTAACAGAATTTTACGAAAGGATATCAAGGACGAAAGGAAAGCCAAAAAAAAAAAAAAAGATAGAGAACAAAAAATAGGTGCTATCGTAGGAAGCAAAACCATTTGAATAGGCCAAATTACATGCATGACCGAACTTTCTGCACAGCTTATGATTTCTTCATTTTTGATAAAACAGGTTAAAATGCATTTGTAATCCCTGAAGTTTCTAATCTATTGTTAAACGGTGTTTCTGATGACTTCCCTCTGAATAATTCATGGAAGAAGCCTACCTGATAAGCAGCAATGGGCAAAGGAGAGCTATCACGAAGAAGCCTTATGATATCCAAGTAAGGCAGACCTGGTTTTACCTGTGACCCACTTCAAATTCAGCATAACAGGAGGTTTCACCAACAAAAGAGCAATCAAATTGACAAAAACATAAAACGCGATACTAACCAGAAGGATATCAGCTCCTTCAGACTCATCTTCACGAGCCTCAACCAGAGCCTCTCTGTAATTTGCTGGGTTCATCTGATAACTTTTGTTACAAGCCAAATAATATACAACAGTGAGTTCCAGCTTTATTTATGAACACTTATCTAGACATATCAATTAACAGATTGCACCATTAACCTTGATCGGATACATACGTTTTCTTGTCTCCAAAGCGCGGATTTGAGTCTAATGCTTCTCGGAACGGACCATAAAATGAGCTTGCGTACCTGTTACCGATAATATTTAAATAAAATGCTACAGATGCAAACTCAACCGCTGCTTCATGGTAGTTGAAAGATAAGTAAGTTCAAAATACCCTCATCCAAAACAGTAAACTTGTCTCAATATTATGCATGTTCAGAATCATCAGTCAAACCAGAGCCCATGTGCATAGGTATGCTATTGGAAATTGAAACTCAAAGAGTCATCTCGTTGGCATGTTACAAAAATCTAAAAATAAATGGTGACTGGGCACACATGAAGCTAGAATAAATCAATTTTGTTTTTCTAGCAGATGAATACAATGACAAATGAAGCCTTCACCAGAAGAAAGGCTATTGCCCCCTTAAAATCCTTCGAATGTAATCTGCACTGATAAGAAGTAATAGTGTTTTAAAGGTAACAGAAAACAAAATAAACTTGTTACACCACACATCAAAAACCATCTAAATTGCTATATTCTTTAGGACATCCAAATACTAATTGCGTATAATATTATTGATTTACAGTTTACACCTTTTCAATTGCACAGAAAGTAGCTTTTTCCTTGCTTTCTTACTTCCTTTCGAGCTTCTTGGGCAGTTTTCTTTTAAGTATATATCAGTTATGGTGTCTAGTTTGCCTTGGGCATCACGAAAATTCACGAAGAGTTATCCGACTTTCCTATGTCTATACTTATTTGGGGACACAAATGAGTTTCATGCTCAGGACACAAGTTCTCCCGCATGGAAACCACATAAAACCTAGTTGCCAGATGGACATATAATTTTATTTGCATGTATCATGGAAAATTAAATAGCTATGGATTTACGGATCAAGATGTATGTCACCCTGAATCTGGTATGTTTGTGGAGTAAGTATGAGTTCAGCTGTTGGATTCATCTAATCCTCAAATTTTTAGGCCATGGGACTATAATTGCATTGTCTATCATCTTGGCAATGAATTTCTCTTCTCATACCCATAAAATCTGCAATGGAAGTGCATCATTCATTTCAAAATAATCACGCAGAAAAAGGAAAATTGTTAAAAACTTATTTGATTAACGCCCATTATCTAGTTAAACAGTGAAGTGCATGGACTGTCAAGTGTGAAAATGCTGGTTCAAGTTGAGAGCAGCAATTTATGCAAATAGGCCCAAGCTTATTTTTGTATCGAGTCTATCCTGGGTAATGGCATTTAATTAAAATTCTAACACTAAAATGCTTATTTTGGATTAAAGGATGGGTTTTTGTTGGAGTGACCAATGAATTTGCTAGGTTATCCAGCAATATGAATATGGTAGCAATTTGCCACCCCATCAGTCTCAGACTTCATTCAAACAGCATATGCAGAGACTTAATTATTAACCCCCCCAAACAAGAGAGCGGAAGTCGGAAATTCAGTCTGACGTGTCAAAGGACATAAAACTTTTTGTTTTCTTTTCATCTTTTATCTATCCTATGCTATTGAGTACAACCCTTAGTACAAGGGCATGGTTGTTCCATTATAACTAGAGGGTCAGGGGTTTGGGTAACAGAAATAGTCATGGCTAACAATGCCCCTTTTATCTATCCCATTGTATTACAGGAAGACCTCATTTTGTCGACAGCAGTCCTGCAGCATCTAGTAGATAAAATAAAACTAGACACCCCAATGGGGCACAACCCATAAACAACCGAGGTAAAAGACTCCAGGAATAAACTTAAAAGAAGCTTAAGCATGGATAATCAAGCCAAGCAGCGATGGAAACTTTTAAAAATTAATTGTTTATGCATACGCTAAAAGCAAGATAAAATATTTCTAAATTTTACCACTATTTAATTGAAACATGGTATCTTATTAAGGAAACAAGAAGAAACTAGAATGACTAAATCTCTCATTACACTGTCAAAATAAATAGACAGACTTGAAGTACTGCAATATAATTACAGTGAATTCTATAATAGCATGAATTGCACATTAAGCTAATCAAAGTTTCGTTTTTAGTACTGGCAAGTTAATGAAAGTTCACCGACCAAAAAAAAAAAATCATAGTTCAGTCCCCACATTTACAACCTGAAACAACATGATGTTTTAGACAAGAATAGGGAAAAAGCTACAAATGTTTAACTGCAAATATATGACATGACACATAACCTAGCAAGACAGCAAAAAAGATTTAACACAAAGCAAAAATTAAAGAAATGTCAAATAAAGAAATTACTTTGCTGTATAGGACATGATAGACACATGCTGAAAACCTTCAGCATCAAGAGCTGCACGAATTGCTCCTACACGACCATCCATCATGTCACTGGGACTGACAACATCTGCTCCTGCTTGTGCCTATATATGGGAACAAGAAACAAAAACCCACACTTGGCCCTTGTAATAGAAACTTTATTCCACGACCTTAACCTAGTATTTTCTTAACTTACGGTATTTTGTCCTTAATGTGATTTCCCAGTGTTCTTTTGATAGGTGCTTGCATCAAAAAAATTTAAGACTTCAAATCAAAAGTTCTTGCGTGACTGCACATTTCCAGCATATTTTCTCTGTTTCTTTATTATCTTCTTGAGCCCAGTATTGCAAATGATTTGTTGCTGAAACATCCTCCAAAAAGGGGCTTGAGGCTCTAGAGTGACCAGGATTGAACCAAAAACCAACCACTAGAATCACAATTTTGTTTTTATATGCTAAACAAATTGTATATTAGATCCAAAAATTAGTAAATTAAACATTATAAAACTTCCAAGGAGGTTTCTGAAAGAATAAAATAACCCCCACCAAAGGAGGACGTATTGTGCAAGTATCATGGAAAAAACTTATAAAACATTGAAACCATTTTAATATTTTACCCGACATCAAACATTAATCACTATTATAGTCAAGAAAATATAATTTTACAATCACTTAAGGAGATGTTACATTTGAAAACAAACACAATTTTCCAAACAAAATCTAAAATTACCTGGGCAACAGCCTGTTTACATAACTGATGCACAGTCTCATCATTCATTATAACTCCTGCAGGATATCAAACATATGAAATGCAATCAATAATTGTACATTTGCAACCATAGCCAAGATATTAGAGTATGCAAGAAACAGCCAACTAAATAGTACTTTACTCAACAGGATGCCAGGATGAAGATACAAGTTTGCAAGTTGAAGGTATTTCATTTCGAAAAGCACTATTAGATGCACCCATGGTTTGCCGATATGGATAATTTATTTGCATCTTCCATGCAATTTAATAATCAAATGCTGGGACCTATATCCAGCCACAATCATACTTCTGAAAAACTTACAAATGCTTGCTTCAACATTCATCTCAGAGTTAAAGCACCTCAAGACTTCAAAATTAGCCAAGGTTCTTGAAGGTATACAATTAATGGGCTTCATGACTCTAGGCGTAGTCAAATAAACTTCTCTACTCCTCAAGTTATGGCCTTGTGGCCTGTGAACATTACTGATGGAGCAAACTAACGTGGGTAAACAGAATGCGTAGGACCAAAGGAGAATCTAGGCTACCAATCTTATGATGACAGTGATGAAGTGTTTCTTAGAAGGTTGGGGAATTTGCACAGTAGGAGTATAATGATTCATCGGCTCTGGAGCTCAGTTAATCCACTCTCTAATGGAGGTTCTTGCTCCTTTTTTCTCTATTGATCACTCAAAATGTATTTCAGTACAATATATGGTTTAATTAGGGTTTTTCTCTGGTCCCCCCTCTCGATGAGACGTTACATAGTATTTATAAAGCTGCCTCCTATTCTGTGGGATTTCAGCCGAGATCTTTGCCCATTATTCGTGAGATCCTCTTTAATTTTAGGAGAAAATCTTGGTTGGTTAAGAGTTTCATGCATTGGGCCCAATTTCCGCAGTCATCTAGCTGTTTCCGGGTCAGTTCTGCTACGATCTCCCCAATGAGAACTCTACCCCTGGTTCTCTAAGTTCCTCGTATCTTTCCTGATCTCCCGACCTGACCTCCTGACCTGAGCTCATAGCTAGGACTTGTTTGAGGTATCATCAGTTGCCCCCCGCCCCTGGTTCAAGAGCGCTTGGGCAGAGGTTGAGCTGTTTTTTAAATCGAGTAGGATCTGCACGTGGCTGACCTTGGCTTGCACGTGAGTTAGGCCTTTTTGATGATTTTCAGCAATCATGGCTTCCTCGTTTCCCGCGCACATTCCAGTCCACATCTCTCAGGCTTTAAATGCTCAAACGGCTATCTAAACCGCCCTATTCCACTATTCAACTTCTCTGCTGCTTCTCTCTTCTTGTGATTTTCTGGCTTTCTGGTTTGGAGTTCTCTGATTCCTCGTTCAAGATCGAGTTCTATGGGTTCGATTTGAAGATTCGCATTGCCCTCTTTCTTCCATTTCGTTCTAGACTGTTGTTCGTTGCTCTTTCCCACCTAGGTATGCCCTTTTTGTCCCTTTTTCACCTTTGCTCGTTCTGAATCCCTCGAATTCGAGGTGGTCATTACATTTCTGGGCCTTTCGGTTCTTTTACTTTTGGAATCGAAATTACTACTTATCTCTTCTCTCCCACTTCGTGGACTACTCTTCTATCGTGCGAATCCTTGCTGTCGGAAGTTACTGCGCTGACCCTAGGGTTATCAGAGAGTGCTTAATTAGTATTCCTCCTCTCTACCGTTCTTTCAGTTTACCTTTCTCCTATCCAGTCATGTCTACTCCTTCCAGAGTTACACGATCCTCTGCTTCTCTCTTGGGGGAAAGGTCTGCCGAAAAGGACACTGATTTAGGGGATGTGGGCGAGAAAATCGACAATTTCTCCGGTGTGGATGTTATCGATGTTGAGGAAAATACTGAGGAACCATCCCCATCGTCTTCTTCTGTGCCCCCTAATCCTAACAAAGATAAGGGCAAGGTGAGTGGGATAGGAATCTTTGACAGAGTAACGGGCACTGGGGCTGCCTTTAGGCATGCTGAGCTTATAGGACCTAGTGAGGTTGACTCTTTTCATATGAAAATTCTCAGTGCTCGTTACGATTTTCCTCCTGGTGTCCAGATAAATACACCCCATATGTTGTCCAAGTTCATAAAAGAGTATGTTTCTTTGTGGCCGCTTTTGAGAATGGTCTTCGTTTCCCTATGCATCCCTTCATCAAGAGTGTTTTGCAACACTTCAATGTCTACCCTGCTCATCTCTCTCCTAATTTATGGGGTGTACTTGTGGGTCTTCTTGTTTTATTCAAGATATATGGACTCGGGGTCCCTAGCCTTTCCTTGCTTGTGGATCTTTTTAATGTCAAGCTTACCTCATCAGAGAGTTTCTTATATATCTTCAAGCGAACCACAACTAGTCAGATCATTACTCACCTCCCGAGCTCCCATAAGGGTTGGAAGGAATAATTCTTTTTCGTTGGGGGCACCAACTAGGAGTACAACCCTGCTGACAGGACTGATACTCTGGGTATCCCTAGAACTTGGTCCGCCCCTAATAACTTAGGTGAGCCCTTGCTCGAACTGATTGAGTTCTAGTTTGGGAATTATTGAGTCGCCTTTTTTGACCTTTGCTCTCCTTGTGTTGTTTTTCAGGCATTCGACCAGAGCTCAGTGCTGAGGACGAGAGGGTAAAACAAAAGTTGGAGAAGTGTAATCCAGAGAAGTACTTCGAGCTCATCAAGTCCTGGGTCTTAGTAACACAGGGATTCAGTCCTCCTGAGGTATCGATAGAAGCTCTACTCCCTATCTCAGTTGTTAGACCTGAAGACATAGAAGGTAACACTTTCTGAGTTAGTTCCCTTGCCTTCCCTTTTTTTTTCTCTCTCCTGTTTGACTTGCTCAGTACAGATCTCCCAGGCTCCTCCATAATGAAATCTACCCCTGAGGAACTCCAAGCTAAAGTTGACCAACTGAAGAAAAGTAGGAAAAGTGGTAAACAGAAGGCTGAGACCAACTCTGGAGGCAGCCCTATTGACAGAGCTAAAGTGCAGAAGCTGGGAGTGCCCTCTTCTCCTGCCTTGAGCAAGGGAGGACAGACACCCTCATCTCAATTCCTGGCCCCTTCTCCTCTTCAAGGGGCCCAGTTTGCCCCCAAAAAGGCTTCCGAGCCAAGGCTGCCTTCCCCCTCCTCTTCTGAGGTTGAGGGAGCATTGGGGCTGATTTCTGGAATCAAGCCAAACTTTGTAACCCCCGGACCGCCTAAGCAACCATCCCAGCTGCCTCTCCAGAGTCCTAAAGTCAAAAAGAGGGAAGGCCAGGAGACTGATGAAGACCCCTTCTTCGACAATGCTGAGTTGGCTGTTGGGGTCATTTCATCCATTCTCCCTAAATCCAATATTCAGAGGGCCTCTACCATGCCTCCTGAGGCCTCTTTTTGCTCAGCTCTCCAGAGAGCAGCCACAGTAAGTATTTTCACACTCGCTCTTAGCTCGGCGCAGTTAAATTGTGCTGATCTATGTCTGTTTTCTTTTTTGTCCACAGATGGCTCTTCATTTGAAGAACTTAATGGGCAGGGTCCAATCTTCGGAGGATTCTGCCAAAGCTTTGAAGACATGAGTTTAAGGTCGCTGAGCTGATCTTTGACAATGAGAGCCTCAAAGCTCAAGAAGCAAATAGAGAAACAGGCCTCTGACTATAAAGGCCTTCAAGCTGCTAAGGATAGGACTGAGGAAAGAGAGAAAAAGGTCAGGGATGAGCTGAGGATGACCAGGGAAGAGCTGTTACTCAAAACCAATGCCTAGAACAAAGCTAACTAGGAAGCTTTTAATGCTCGGGGCTCCCTCGAGAGCCTTAGAAAAGAGTATGTTATTCTGCCTGAGGCGAACGAAAGCCTATGCGGTGAGCTCGAGGTGCAGAAGACAACTGTCAAAGAGAAGGACAACATAATAGCTGAGCTGAAAGATGATGTCACCACCAAGTGGACCTCAGGATGGCTGGCCTTTCAGCGCAAAACGGAGAAGGCCTACCCAGAGCTCAACTTTGACTTTGCCATCCCCACTAAGGAAGAGTTGGAGGAGTCTGATTCAGAGGGCGATGACAACACCTTGGCGCCTGTTGCCTCTGATAGGGCTCTGGAAGGTACTGAAATGTCCACTCCTCCAGCTGTTCCTGCTAATACATCCTTTTCTGCTGATCTGGTAACGAGAGCTCTGCCTGAGATCGAGATCCCAGCGAGGGCCTGTCCTTGGCTCTTCTAAGATTTCAACTGCTGCCTTGCCAGAAGGGTTGCCTGGTGAGCTACCGAGCTCTTCCTCTGTTCTTGCTGCTGAAGCTATAGTTTCTACATTGTAGGATCCTCCACCTGTTCCCTCTTCAGAAACTTAGGATCTTTTATTTCCTTTTTTTTTTTTTTTTTTAGCATTTGTAACTTCTATTGGGGAATGTAAACTTGGCCTGCTTTCCTAACTCGTCTGAATGGTAGACGCACTGGTTTTTTCCTCTTTCTCTAATTGCTTTCTAACACAATCTAACTCGCTCTTTTAATGTAGTTTACTCTGCTCAATACGATAACACAATCTAACTTGCTCTTCAATGCAGTCTACTTTGCTCTAACACAATAACACAATCCAACTTGCTCTTCAATGCAGTCTACTCTGCTTTTCTTAGGTCTACTCTCATTGTTCTATGGTTAACTGCTCGCGTACTCTCATTGCCCCCCATTGCTTTGAGGAAAACTGAGTTCCTTTGAAAGCAAAGCTGCTGGAACTACAAGTCTACTGGCTTCCTGAGCTCTTTTGAGAGGAACGGAATTGAGATCTGACTTTAGGAGATTACCATGCTTATGTTTGGTCGAAGAGAGTATGCTGCTTCTTTGAATAGTTGGGAGCTGCCTTGGAAGGTCTGTGCAGCCATACGAGCTACACTTAACTCATAAATATCCGAATATTTGGGATCTCAGAGAGTCTTCCAGGACTGCCGAACTCTACCGTGGACCCATAGTTAATCTCCCATGTTATATTGCTGCTTATTGCCCTGAACTTTTGCTAGACAGTCGAGGGCTGTTATTGCTTGAGATGGATGAAGAGTATCAAGGGAATGTTGAGGCTACTTGGTCTGAAGTCTTATAGATGTTAACCTTCTATTTTTGTACATCTAATTCATGATTTTTTATGTTTTTGAAAAGCTTAAAGTAGAGCTCAACCCCAAAGGGAGCATTGGATGGTGGACTTGACATTCCTCACAGTGACAAGAAGTTTACTAGATTTGAGAAAGAGAGTAAGCAACTTGATGCTGAAGTCCATCACAAGTATATCTATGGATGCCATGTTGCTGCATGCATGGGAACTTTATTAGAAGAAAAGCCTTTCTAGAAGTTTAACCCGAGGTCCACATAAGGCTTTTTCGAGGAGATGTATCAGAAGGTCCATACAACCATACCAGCTAGTCTCTTTGGAATGACATCTTACCTCCAAAGTCAGGGGTTGAGTTCTGCCT